AAATCTGCTGTACAAGACCTTTTTTAAGTGCTGAAGAGCAAAGATGTCAGCTTGAGGACCTAAGTTGCGCCTGACCCAAGCCATGGTATTTTCAATAATCTCATATGCATGCGAAGCTGAACAATGAATAAGGAAGACCGTAGAAGAACTGATGCATTGGAGTTTTAGTATTGGAGGAGAATACTGAAAGTGCCATGGGCTGCCAAAGAATCTATTGATCTGTTTTGGAAGAAGTTCAGCCAGAATGCTCCTTGGAGGCCAAGCTGGCCAAACTTCATCTCTCATACTTTGGACATATTGTCAGGAGGGACCAGTTGCTGGAGAAGGATATCATGTTTGGTAAGGTGAAGGGTCAAAGAAAAAGAGGAAGACCTCCAGCGAGATGGATTGGCCAAGTGGCAGCATCGATGGATTCAAGCATGGCAACAGAAGTGAGGTTGGCCCAGGATTGGGCAGTGTTTCGTTCTGCTGCGCATAAGGTTGCTATGGGTCGGTATTGACTCGATGGACCTAACAACAACAACAACAACAAAGGGGAAAAAAACAAAATACAGGGAATTTTTCTTATGAGCAAAACAATGTGAAACCTTCTGCTAATTCACTCTTCCCTTTAAAAAATTAAAAATTTTATGTCCAACTTAAATCTCCCAGTAATTTCAGGAGTACAAGTATAAGTCAAAAAGTATTGCTAAAAAATCATAGAAACTGTTATTAAACAAAATTATCAAGCCAAATGTGAAGTTACTGTTTCTATACATATCCTCGATCAAGGTCTATACACTTGTGATATGCTGTGACCTTTCCAAACCTTTCCCAAAGAATTCTGCACTCTTCAATTTTAATCATGTTAAATCAGCAGTTTTGGCATCCTCAAGGAACTCAAACCCTATTCTTTTTAAATGTTTTTTTAAGTTTGGGGAACAAAAAGAAGCCTGAAGAGGCAAGGTCAGGGCTGTAAGATGACTAGGATAAGGTTTCCCAACGAAATTCTCATAGGACAGTTCTTGCTATCCTTGAAGAATGAACTGGTACATTATTGAGATGAAAGAAAAAGTTAAAAAAAAAAAAAAAATCATTAGAGCCACTTTCCTGCCCTTTTTCTCACCCATGGAGATCGCAATTTTCTTAAAACTTCTTCCTAATAAAGTCCTTGTGATCATCCTGTGCCCTTCAAGAAAAATCTGTCAAGATTACCCAATGGAATCCCCCTCAAAATAACTGTCATAACCTTCTGAGTAGATTTCTCTGCCTTGAATTGAATTGGTCCAGCAGAACCCTTTGGAAACCACCGTTTTGACTGGACCTTTTTTGAAGGCGTTCTAAAGACACTAAGACAAATGTAAAACTGAGAACTGTCTGCAGTCATCCACTAATCCCAGAGACATGTTTAACACAGTCTTTTGGACTAAACCCATGCACATATAAATTGGAGTCCTGGTAACAATACTTCAACTTAGCCTCATATATGCTCTTAAATTTTAAGTAACATTTTATACCAGAAATAGCTGCATGATCTCAGTTTGAAAATTTAACTATATCCTTGCTTTAAGTAAATTAACATCATAGAATCAAAACAACTTTAATATTTAAAACACAGATCCTCAAAATTAGTATCTTCTCCAGATGTGTTAAATATCTAAAAATAGTTCTCAAACACACTGTCAAAATAAACTATTAACCAAAAGGGTATTCAATTCCTAAACAAATTATCATTCTTAAAAAAATTGGCACTTGTCAACAGTGAGGTACTAAAATTAGGAAATGTTAAGTGTAAGCAAAATAATAAGTTATGGGGTTTCCAAAGATGGACCTCAGTCAAGCTGGATGTGAGTCCTGTGGTCTTTTTCTTTCCTTTGTCCCCACTAATTTATTTTAGAACTCCATTTCTTAAATGTTTACAACAGTGTGACTACACACACATATCACCTATGAAGTTTGTTGTAAGACTCCACTCGCAGACATTCTGATTCAGTGACCCAATAGTCTGCATTTCTAACAAGCCCCCATATGATGCTAAGACTGCTGATCCACAGACCACACTCTGACTAGCAGTGCTTTAATTGTTGTTAAGTGCCGTTGAGTCAATTCCAACCCATAGTGACCCTGTGTAGGGTTTCCAAGGAGCAGGTGGTGAGCTTGAACCACCAAACCTGCAGTTCAAATAGCTTTGCAGTCTGGTGCATTAAACCCACAGCGCCACACCAGTGCTTTAGGTTATGGTAGATTACGGATGTACTACAACTGACCACTTTTTCTGTTGTTGGACATTTGTATAACCTACTTTTTTTTAGGGTTCTTGATACCTGTTGCCAATTTGATTCTTTAAACATGCTGTTGTTGTTAAGTGCCATAGAGTCAGTTCTGACCCATAGT